CCTAAACCCTAAAAACTTTAACCTTAGACTGTCTACTATTGACCTCACCTTTTTCCTAAGAGGCCTGTAGGGGGCATGCATAAGCACACCAATGTGCCTACTGTCCCTGTCCTATTGTTTCTTTTTATTTTTCTTACATGTATCCATTTCACGTATTCATAACTATGTTTATACTTATACCTATTATCTTGTAAGCAATTGACAAATCAAATAAATAAATAAATAAAATAAATAAATCACCGGGACCTGAAGGATTACATCCCAGAGTTCTAAAGGAGCTGGCAGATGTCATCTCAGAACCAATGTATCACATTTTTAAAAAATCCTGAAACAACGGGGAACTACCTGAGAATTTAAAAAGAGCTGATGTGGTTCCCATTTTCAAAAATGGGGGAAAAAGAGACACAGTAAACTATAGACCAATCAGCCTAACATCAATACCCAAGTTGATATTGGAAAAGTTAATTAAAAAAATAGATCTGCCAATATCTAGAAATGAGTAAAGTAATAAGTAGTAGTCAGCATGGGCTTGTCATGCCAAACCAATCTTATTTCATTCTTTAACATAGTGACTAAATTAGTAGACCAGTGAAATACTATGGATGTAATATACTTAGACTTCAGCATGGCATTTGACAAAGTTGACCACAACCTATTTCTTGGGAAGGTAGAAAAAAAGTGGGCTAGATAGCATCACCATCAGATGGATTTATAACTGGCTGACAAACCATACATAGTCCAATGAACGCAAGTACTCGGGGTGACTAGTTTAGTGAAGAGAAGGTCAGGTGAGATATGATAGCAGTGTTCCAATATTTGAGGGGATACCACAGAGAGGAAGAGGTATTTTCCAAAGCACCCGAAGGCCAGACAAGGAATAACGGATGGAAACTGATCAAGGAGAGATTCAACCGAGAAATAAGGAGAAATTTTCTGACAGTGAGAACAATCAATCAATGGAACAGCTTACCTTCAGAACAGTGGTGGGATTCAAATTTTTTTTACTACCAGTTCTGTGGGCGTGGCTTGATGGGCATGACGGGGGAAGGATACTGTAAAATCTCCAGTAAGAGGTTCTGTTCCTTTCTTCTTCTGCTTTTGGCTCCAGGCAAGGAAAGCAGCAAAAGTCTTTCTTTCTCTCCCCCAAATTCTGCCAGAAATGAGTCTTTGGGACCATGCAAGGTATCCTGCTCCAAGAGGTTGTGCCAGTGCAACAAGTCTCACAAAAACTCATTTCTGGCAGAGTTTGGGGGAGAGAAAGAAAGACTTCTGCAGCTTCTGCTGCTCTGGAATGACCAAAGAGCCAATCTTATGACTACTGCAGCCTTGGAATATGGGACCGACTTTCTCACCATAGTCAGCAAGCCACTGTCAAGTCAAAATTCATATTAATGGTCCACAGGATTTAAAATTATGAGTTTGGTGGTCCCTGAGATCCAAAAGTTTGGTGATCCCTGGGTTAGACTAGAAGACCTACAAGGTCCCTTCTAACTCTGTTAATCTGTTAATCGTTAAACACTTTTGGGCAATTTGAGGGATAATGCATAGGTGGGCTAAAATTGTGAGATAACTTAGCTGGATTTACTGAAAATTAATACTGTTAGATAAAAGGTATTTTAACCACAGAGTATAAACCCGTGAAAGGTTTTATAGGTTAAACCTTGTACAATAAATTCTGTAATCATTGTATGCCCAGAGGCAAATTAAGGAGCATAATTTTACCATTTATTTATTTATTTTAGTATTTATTAAGAATATAAACAATTAATTAGTCTATACATGACTAGAACATAAATACTCATAGTTGGATAGATAGAACACTTTATTGGCCAAGTGTGATTGGACACACAAGAAATTTGTTTTGGTGTAATACTCTCAGTATACATAAAAGAAAGATACATTCATCAGGAGTCGAGAATCATAAGGTACGACACTTAATGATAATCATAGGGTACAATAAGCAATCAAATCATACCAGGAAACAGTCAATAAAAATCATAAGGATACAAGCGACAAAGTTACAGTCATACAGTCACAAGTGAGAGGGGATGGGTGATAAGGAGTGATGAGAAGATTAGTAGTGCAGACTTTGTAATAGTTGAACAGTGTTGAGGGAATTATTTGTTTAGCAGAGTGATGATTTTTGGGGAAAAACTGTTCTTGTGTCTAGTTGTTCTGGTGTGCAGTGCTCTATAGCGTCATTTTGAGGGAAGGAGTTGAAACAGTTTATGTCCAGGATGTGAGGGGTCTGTAAATATTTTCACAGCTCTCTTTTTGACTCGTGCAGTATACAGGTCCTCGATTGAAGGCAGTGTCATGCCCCTGGTGGAGACTGACTCTGAGGAAGAGGAGGAACAGCCAACAGGGAGTGGAAGTATGGCTCCAGAGGTGGTGGAAGAGGCTGCGGAAGGGCAGAGGCCAGCTGAGCAATCAGAGGAGGATCCAGGACCATCCCCTATCCACCCTAGGGATGAGAGGATCAGGGAAAAGTGTGCTCTACTCAGGAGGAGAGGGCCATGATCCTCCTCATGGGTTGCAGCTGTGAGCTCTGTATAAGAGTTTGGAACTTCATGTTCACAGACGCTGAAGTCAAATTAGTGCTTTCCTTAGATGAGGTTTATTTTTGTTGGCATTCTTCCCATGTATTCTCCCCGGTTATCTTCCTGAAATGTGTGATTAATTATCTTGGTTTGCCTTGGAACTCTCATCAATACGGTTTGTTTTTGGTTTCCTTTTGCTTCATTATCTACTTTTTGAATTTAAACTGTGATTAATAAAACAGCGAAGCTAAGTTGAAGGCATTACATTGATTCATGTTTTAGTTTTTGTGTTATTTTTGAGACACTACGGGTCATCACAGGCAGGTTGGTAGTAATTGTTTTTCTGCAGTCCTAATTATCCTCTGAAGTCTGTGTCTGCCCTGTTGGGTTGCAGAACCAAACCAGACAGTTATAGAGGTGCAGATGGTAGACTCAATGATTCCTCTGTAGAAGTGTATCAGCAGCTCCTTGGGCAGTTTGAGCTTTGTGAGTTGGCGCAGAAAGAACATTCTTTGTTGTGCTTTTTTGATGATGTTTTTGATGTTAGGTGTCCATTTTAGGTCATGTGATATAGTAGAACCTAGAAATTTGAAGGTCTCTACTGTTGATACGGTGTTGTCTCGTATTGTAAGAGGTAGTAGTATCTTCTAGTTTCTTCTAGTAGTATCTTCTAGTTTCTTCTAAAGTCTACCACCATTTCTACGGTTTTGAGTGTGTTCAGTTCCAGGTTGTTCCGGTTACACCATGAGGCAAGTTGTATAACATCCTGTCTGTATGCGGATTTGTTGTTGTCTAGAATGAGATCAATCACTGTTGTGTCATCAGCAAACTTCAGTATTTTAACAGATGGATTGTTTGAGATGCAGCCATTGGTATATAGGGAGAAAAGAAGTGGAGAAAGCACACTTGTCTTGCACTTCTTTTTCTGTGATCACCAGAAGTTGTGAACCCAATGGATTGGGGCCAGTTGTAGGAGGCTTGGCTGTTGTTTGTATGTTTTAGATGTGGGTTGTGGAGATAGGCGGCTGTAGTAAAACACATTCAGGTCATCTGCTATTTGTTGATTCCCTCCCTGGGAAGGAGGTTTGCTGAAGCCAGTGATGTTTTTAAGAGTTTTCCACATGTTTGCTGGTTCATTTGTTGAGAACTGATTCCTTAACTTTTCAGGGTAGCTTCTTTTTGCTGCTCTGATCTCTCTTGTTAATATGTTTCTAGCCTGATTGTATAGCATTCTGTCACCTTTTCTGTAGGCTTCCTCTTTGTAAGGATGTAGCTGCTTAAGTTTAGCTGTGAACCAAGGTTTATTGTTTCTATATATTTGCAGGTTCCTTGTTGATACACATAAGTCTTCGCAGAAGCTGACATATGATGTTACAGTATTTGTGAGCTCATCTAGGTCTGCAGAAGCATCTTCAAAAACATTCCAATTAGCGCAATCAAGGCAGGCCTGGAGTTTCAGCTTTGCCTCATCAGAACAAGTCCTCACTGATTTAATTGTTGATTTCATGGTTTTAAGTCTTTGTCTGTAGGCAGGTACAAGGTGAATCATGCAGTGGTCAGAGTGTCCCACAGCTGCTCGTGGTAAAGACCTATAAGCATTTTTTTACTGTTGTGTAGTAGTGTAATTGCCTCTGGTGAGACAATTTACATGCTGTCTGATCTAAATGTCCTGGGATGTATATGGTGTTGTCCCTATGAATTTGTGGATTAAGCCAGGTTTCAGTAAAACAAAGAACTGCAGAACTATAGAAATCAGAATTCCATCTATTTAAGAGATGAATTTCATCCATTTTGTTAGCAAGTGAGCATAAATTAGTCAGAAAGATTGAAAGATTGAAGGGAGTTTCCCCCCATATTCCTTAGTCTGTTTAAAATTCCCGCTCGTTTACCTCGTCTCCTTTTTTGGCGTTGCCGCTTTCCTCCTTTGTTTGTTGTAATCCATAGCACTGGGGAATTAGTTAGAATCTCCTCCATGTTTGCAAAGATGGGGGGGTGAGGAATCAGAAAGCCGCTCCTTAAGGAAACATTGCCTAATTCTTAGCAGATGGTCTTGTGAGTATAAAATCCGTAGTGAATTGCAGATAATAATAAGGAATAAAGAAACCATTAGAGAGCATTTCACCAAAGCAGCCATCGTCAGTGCCATCTTGGCTGGTCCACCATATTCATAATAATTAATATTCAATATTCATAGTAATATGAAAAAATACAAACAACTCTTGTACAGTACTTTAGAAAGTAACAAAATGGAAACAGTAAGAAGCAGAATTTATGATATGTTGTTTCTGAGGTTAGGAAATTGGAGTGATGCAATAGCTGTTGCAGTAAAATTTCACAAGAAAAAATCAATGAATTTATTTTTATCTTCATTAGTGATCATATGCTCTTAATTATAGTACAGCTTGTTTACTAGAATGTTTCACATTCAAGTAAAATATATATTGAAGTATATTTGCTTACCTCCATCTAGTTCTTCTGCACCAAAATGGTTTCTGTAGAATAACATAATTTCTATCTTGTAGCACTTGTAAATAGTCACTAAACAAACAAGTAGTAGCAGAATAGCACCAAGCCCTCCAGCAAGTTCAACTGTATACATCAGCTCTGAAAAGAAAAATAAAGATTAATAACAACCACATTCTAATATAAAAGCAGTGATTATCATATTTTGGGGCAAAAGGAATTTTTTGTTTTTCTGAATGGAAAAACAAAGTGTTTTTCTAATTTCTTGGTACACACACAGAGAGAAAAAGAGTAGGCATTAATATTTTTGTGGTGTGTAGCTGGTTTATGATATACAATGTTCACAGAGGATAAAGCTAAAGCTAAACCCTTTTCTCAACACAAAATTATCATCCCTTTTTTATCAACTACATTTGTTTTAATATATCCCCCTTTCCTTGGTGCTATACAAATCACAATCTCTCGATATTACCCAATAATATAACTGGGTGTGACTTTTTAAGAAAAATGTTGAAAACCATCTCAATTTGTTATTTTTGACATTCTGACATTAAAAGGTTAAACATTATCATTTCTTGTGTAGCATTGTACCATGGGATATTGTATGATTGATTGAAACAACTGCCAGCTTAGTTTCCAAAGAAGAGGCTTGGGCAAATGTGGTTATATCTATCTGTCAACAATAATCATTGGTAATATCATTTATGAGTATGTCAGTAAATGGTATTGTTGGTCATTGTCCTCACATTTTCCAAGCAGATTTCCATTTGAAGTCAACTATACTCTAGTTGTTTGCCTGGAAGATACATGAAATCCACTAATAAAGCTGCAGTGCCAGATCATTTCCCTGGAAATAACACCAATAATGATTTCTTGGAGATTATTTCAGTATTATAAGGATGTTATACTGAATTTTCACTAAGGATGAAGAATTATATATTGTTTTAAAAAGTGTTAAAAATATATTGGATAGTAAGTTGTATAGCAGTTACCTTCTAAAAATGGTTTATGGCTGGAGTAAAAAAAAGCCTAATAGAAGAATACAGACAGAAACAACTCTACTTCTACTCAAAGATTTCTGAGTAAAGACTGTTGGTGGATCAGATGTCCTTGCAAGCAGCTTCACAACTGGGAACAGCACTATCATGGAATCACCAGCTACGAGTCAGTTTTCTAGCAGAAGAAAATCTCTGGAAAAAAGATCTGGGAATGACTTCTGTTTCTTATGAGGAGACCACAGGAATTGAGTCTCTTCTGGCTGATTTTGAGTGGAGGAACTTGGAAGCTAAAACATTTACAACACATTCTTAGCCACTATGCAATCTATACAGATGTTTCATAGTAAAAAAAACCTCATTTTCTTGAACACCTTTGGATCTTACTGATTTACAACCTAAGACCAATATTATAAACAGCATGGAACATCAAAATCTCCAATCAGTTGCCTTCTTCCTGAAACTAAGATTAGGAGGAAAATATCTTATTAAAGGATTTTAATTTAAAAGGAAATACCTTAACAAAATTGTGATTTAAGAAAGTTTTAAATGGATGTTGTTGCAATGGGTTGGACACGACTTCACAACTAACAACAACAACAAAGGTGAAAATATTTCTAGAAAACAGATTATTTTTTTCTAACATATTGACCTTTGTAAGTAGCAAAATTAATTAGATTAACAGACTGGTGCTTTATAGGCATGTTGATTATTTATTATCAAGAACAGTAGATAATTGGTGGACTTTACAAAACATGTGAGTGTGCATGGGTGTGCGTGTGTGCATAATACATATACATACATGTGTGTGTGTGTATTATACATATGTATTACACACACACACACATTAACTTTTAAATACTATGCAGAGCTTATTGGAATTAAAGTACAAAACTTAGAGAAAAGCAAAAAATAAAAGAATAATCCTGCCTTTTACCTATACTTGTGATAGTGGATCTATGGCACGCGTGCTCGAAGTAGCACGCAGAGCCCTCTCTGTGGGCACATGAGCCATCGTCCCAGCTCAGCTCTGCTGCGCATGCGTGCATGTGCCTCTTGCTGGCTAGCTGGTCTTTGGGTCTCTGCTGCACATGTGCAGGGGCAGGGGGCATGTGTGGGGGAGGGGGAGGCACATGCATGGGGAATATGCACATATTGCATTTTGGGGATGTGCGCGCACACACACACACTTTGGGCACTCAGTGCTGAAAAGGTTAGCCATCACTGACCTATACTGTTGTAATTGACATACTTTCACTTTCTTATCCTAGCAACCCCAAGAAAAACTGCTTCATTAGAAGGACATGAACACAGGGATGCTGTAATAGTCATGAGTGTGAAAAACTGACATAAGTCACTTTTTCAATGCCATTGTAACTCCAAATGGTCACTAAATGAATAGTTGCAAGTCAAGGATTACTTGTAGAGATTTATGCTGTCTGTCATGGAAATATACTGAAAGTAAATGACACAACATTAGTTATATCTATGCAGAGTTTACTTGACCCTTTGGTATTGTAAAGTATGTATAAGTTCCATCAACACTGTTAAACCTGGAAAGACAATGTAACACAAGTTTAATGCCATTGATGGCAATGATATTCAGAATGTAGGGTTGTTAGCTTTAGGAATATTACTATTTTGTGCTTGTTAGCTCAAAAATATAATAAAATGCTTATGTCACAGTTATTGATCATTATATTTCCACAGTACCCTTAATCTTTTCTTGAAAGAATCTAGCATGGCTAAGCTTAATTCTATCCTTGTTGCTATGTAGCATTTAATTCAGAGAGTATATTTCTGTTAAAGCATTGCAAACCTGCAGGGAAAAACATAAGCAACCATATTTATTTTCTCTGTTTAGGTACCTTTATGTTTATACTTCTATAATGGAGGAACATGCAGTTGTTATAAAAGCTTCGGAATTGGCCAGCAGGCAATAAAAATAATTACATATTATTTTTGTTTTTTAAATAATTTATTGTTCATACTATTCCATTCAAAACTCTGGTATAATTTCCTATATATTCTAAAGTTTTTGGTTTCATATATTTGATTTATTTCTTACCTATAGAAAAAATAAATTAATCTGCAACAGTTAAATTAAAATTGTTATAAAACTGACTATCAATTAATGGAAATAAAATTATACAGGATAGCCTTTTTAAATATATTTTTTACTTTATAGCATATAAAATTCCATTTTTAGTTAAACAGTGTGTTGTCTGGGTACAAATGTTTTTAGGAAATAATAATCATATTAATAATAATAATATTTACAACAATGTTCATTACATTGGAATAAGTTCTATAATAATAGTAATAATAATAATAATGGAAGTGAGGAAAAATGGAAAAAAATAGAAGGACTAGAACTGGGAAATGGAAGCATAGTGAAAGCATTAGCAAGGGATGGTGGTTACAAATACCTAGGCATATTGGAAGCAGATAATATCTTGAATGGAAAAGTGAAAGAGTCAACGCAAAAGGAATACATCAGGAGGGTCCACAAAATATTAAAATCAAAGCTGAATGCTGGAAACATAATTAAAGCCATTAATACATGGGCAGTTCCAGTGATACGCTACTCAGCTGGAATCATCAACTGGACTGTGGCTAAATTGGAAAACCTGGGCCAGAAAACATGTAAACTTTTGAATATGCACCACACTTTACATCTACGAAGTGATATCAACAAGTTATACCTGCCAAGAAGAATAGGGAGCAGAAGGCTATTGCAAATCCATTGAACTGTAGAAGGAGAAAAACGAAGTCTGAATGACTGTGTAAACCAAAGTACAGAAAAATTGCTTCAGGCTGTGAAAACAGAGAACATTATAAAAACAACAGAAACAAAGGCAGAATATAAGGAAAAACAATTGGATGACAGATTAAATAGATGGAAAACCAAAGCTTTGTATGGACAGCACTTGAAAAACATGGAAGGAAAATGTGATGACAATTTGACATGGACATGGCTTAAGAGAGGAACCATCAAAAAAGAAATGGAAGGTTTAATACATGCTGCTCAAGAACAAGCACTACAAACTAATGCTATGAAAGCAAAGATACAAAAATCCACTAACAATCCAAAATGCCGAATTTGCAATGACAAAGTTGAAACTGTTTCACACTTAATATGCGAGTACAGCAAAATCGTGCAAACTGACTACAAAGCTAGACATGATTGAGTTGCTAAATTAATCCACTGGTCGTAACGTAACAAATACACTCTACCTGTATCCAAAAAGTTATGGGAACATAAAATGGAAAAGGTTGTCGAGAATGAGATGGTGAAGATCTTGTGGGACTTTTGAATACAGACGGATCACAATTTGGAACACAACACACCAGATATTACGGTTATTGAGGGCCTTAGTATTGATATTGATATTACTGTACCAGAAGATGCCAGAGTCAAAGAAAAAACTGGAAAAAATATCACGATCTGGCCATCGAAACTATGTGATTATGGATGAAACATGTAACAGTGATACCCATTATTGTCATCAGGGAATTTGGTACCATGTCCAAGAATTTTACAAAACACATCAAGAAATTGCAGCTTCCTGCAATAACACCAGCGGAACTGCAAAAAACTCTGCTATTCGGAACATTGTATATTTTAAGAAGACACTTAGTTGATACTTAGGATGCTGGCAGCAACCCATATCAACAATTTTGAACATTCGGTTGACTGAGTTTCATGTTTAATGAATAAAGATGATGATGATGATGATGATGATGATGATGATGATGATGATGATGA